TGGCATGAATGCTGATCATAATGTATCACGAGTCAGTAACAGTTATACTACGTCCAGTTGTTTTCCTTGGCACGTGTTCTTTTCCAGCCTTTTTTCAGCCCTAACAGCAGCTCTAAGGTTCATCTATGTATGTATGCAGGTGGGTGCGTATGTGACCATGTGGTTGTATGTATGCATGTATGCTTGTTCTGGCTATGGTGTGGCCTTATCCGTGCAGGCACGAACACGCACGCGCGCACACACACACACAAACACACACACACACACAAACACAGAGAGGCAGGCAGGCTCCCGAAGGCTGCTACAGCCTGCAACACACTTGCTCTGTCTCATTCTACCTTCCGTGAACTGCACGCGGGCTTTGAAAGTGTCGCAACAGTCCTTTTGCATTGCGCACTTGCCTCCATCAAGGCTGTGTTGGAGCGCTCCTCGGAGACTTTTGAAATTTATGGGTTTCGTTTCGAGCAGTGACAGCAATCGCAACTAACTCTGCGCAGACGGGGTCTGCTGTTCTCTTGACAATAGAGCTAGGCGGCTTGAAGCGTTGACTGCTGAAGGATGCAGCTGGGGCACCACTTGATTCTCCAAGTATGCCTAAGCAGAATCGTGGCTGGCGACATGAAACTCTCCGAGCTACAAGCTCTAGAGCCCGCGTTTCCCCTCAGCTAGGTAAATCGACATGCGAGAGATTACAACCGTGGCTGCCCAAGTAAGCATGGGGCTTTTGGCATGCCCAGCAGCTCCAAAGGCACCAACATGCAGAAATACACACTGCTGCTGTTGAACTGTGGCTACCATCCGGCCGGAGTCTCCGACGGTCTTGGAGTACTTGATGACGCACTGTGTGTGGGCGAATAACAACAAGCTCACACGTCCTCTCAAACTCCTCTCGTGTTTAGCACTGCCGCCACGACTCGATGTAGGCATTTCTGTCGGTGAGCAACCTCTTTCGCTCCTTGGGGCAGTTTTTCTGCTCAACAACTGCCCAGTGGCCGTTTGGCATCCGTCAGTTCTAGCGAGCGACTGGCCGCGAGGGCGCTTTGTATTTTGGGGCTGCGTCGAACGTGCCCTTAGGCATCGTACCGCAATCGTACTTGATGGGATCATTGGCTTCCTGCACGTAGTGAGGTTTCATGAAGGCACTGCTTCTGGGTGTCGATATCGCGTCGGAAGCACTTCCTATCTTCGTCGCACTTTCACTACATGTCCCGACGACCCAAGCGGCAGGGATGCGCAGCGCGCCGACTTATCCCACAAATACCCAACTGCCGATCGCTTGATAAAGACGGCTGCAGCTGCGTGCCAGGCGGTATTGCTCTTGGTGTCGCTGAACTGTGCCTTCCTGGCGCAGATGCGTCGGCTCAACGCAGAGGTGAGGGTTTCCCATGGATGCCCAGCCGATGCGATCTGTGAAAAGCATGTGATGCGCTCTGCAGCCGAGCAACTCCGATCAGCAAGGCAAGGACACACTACCGGCCACTACCACCGTTCTACGTCAGCTCCGGAGGCAGCGAAGCCTGGCATAGCTGCCGCCGGCGCCGGGACTGCGGGTTGCCTCCATAGCCTCGGACTCCAACCTTTTAGCCCCGAAGCCCCTTGGCCTCCGAACCTTCACGCTGAAAGTCGTATGCGGCAGAGCCGTAGTAAGCTCTTGGCACTCAGCTGGAGCCAGCAGCCGAATGCAGGAGCATCGCGCGCCGTACGCTATTTATTTACTGACTTGCTGGTGCTTTGTGAGGATGGGAGGGAAACAGGTTCTTGCACCTTGGTTTGTGCTCCGGACGTGTCGAATGATGCATGGATGTTATCCTTTTTCCTGCTGATTCCTGGACACCAATGGTGATGACTGCAGGGGCCATGTTCCGGAAATTGCTTGCCCTGCACAGCGGCCTCGGATGGCGCATTATGTCGAAACTTTTTCGTGTCGATTCAGATGCCCACAGCTGAATCCATGTGGCAGGTCAGTGTGCAGCATGTGTCTGTGGGTGCGGGGGCGGGCAAAGCTTTCCGGCTGAAGGACTCCCTGCAACCATTTCTATCAAAGCCTCCTCGACAGTCGAGGCAGGTCTGGTCCCAAGGGTTGTGCCTCAGTGAGTGGCCGTGTCTGAAGCCAATGCTGAAGATTTTGAAGACCTACAGCCAGCTGCATTGGGGAAACAGCAACCGTTGCCGCGGACAAGGCTGCCTAGACCTGGAGACTGCGTCGCTCGGCAAAAAGCCTCAGGGCCCAGCCGTGGCAGTGGAAGAGAAGACCAGCCTCGCTCACGGCAACCAACCAGACTTGTCTCAACATCACACGGCATGGCGAGCTTCTAGCTGCCCAAGGCTGCCTACCTACTGGGCTGCGTAGCCGACCCTGCTACACATCCACACGAAACCCATGAATTAGGTGACGCCAGGCGACCCAAGGACGCTGGACAATGCGAAGCGCACGAAGGTGTGACTGGCGGAGCACAATGGAGAAAGGTTTGAGCGCAAAGCTGTCAAGAACTGTTCAACTCGCAGACAACGTTTTTAAGGCAGAACTGAAAATGCTTTCGTCTTGAATCTCATGGACAACATGATATGACGACCAATTTTCGCGGATTGCCAGATTTCTACGTACACCTAATGTATGCTCTTCAAATCTCTCCAGCAAGCTCAAGCAGGCAGGGATGGCCCAAACGGGTCATGGAACCTGGAACGAGTGTCTTGCTTGCTCGCTTGCTAGGGGTGTGGGGTCAAGAAGACCCCCGGCCCGAAGGCCAACCCCCATGGCTCGCGTTTGTACGTCTTCGAGGCCCCTGTTCGGGGAATACAGAAGTGTTCCCCCAAGTGGACATGTGCTGACCCCCCCCCCTCCCCCCCGAAAACACCCCTTCTAAACCCTGACCGATGAACTCCCTTGCATGTCTTACTTGGGTCATCCACTCTGCACTCTACGACTGTGTATAAGGGGCAGGGTAACAGAAACTGCAACACGAAGCAACAGCCATATGTTCAACAGGAAGTTGGAGTATAGCTGATAATGTTATTCCCCGCCAGTATGCCGGTATGCCGAATGCGCTCCACTCTTCGGCTTGGTTGAAATTCTGTGTTGAATCCCCCACCTTTACCTGCCTCCCCGCCTTATCCCGAACGGAAGCCTCGCATGACACTGCCTTCACCTTCCCACCCCAACCCTGAACCTCTTCCCCAGCGTCAACCACGACAATGCTCACAGGCAGCGTTTACTGGCCGCTAGGTCTGGGCAGGTTTGAGTTCGTCCTTTGCATGTCTCTGTCTCTCTCTCTCCCTCGCTGTCTGCTTGCTTTACTTTGCTGGGGGACTTGAGGCGCCAGCAGTGCTGACACCCCGCTCAGTCGAGCTGCCCCGTCCAACATTTTGTCAAACTGGCTCTGCTGCACGTGAGTTCGCTTTCTCTTGCTTGCTTGCTTGCTTGCTGGCGGCTTCAGAAGGAAATACCCTTGGGCAGACCCGAGTCTCAACGTCCTCTCGTCCGCTTGTTGCAGACATTTGCAGACTCCCCCGGCTCGGTGTTGGTATCGATCCCCCTCCGTTCGGTACAGCAAGTGGGTGGCAACCTGGTCAATCAAGAAGCTGAACCCCCCATCTGTCTGATTGGAAGAACAAAACCATGGCCGAACAAGATACCGATACAACATTAATGTGAGGCTGTTCTGTTCCCTTCAGACGGAACCTGAAATGACAGTGCTCACGGATCCCGCGTATTGGGGTTGTCTTTCACAGAACGGTTGAAAGAAGCTTCCTGGGTGCTATCAACCGGGGTTTGGAGCCCAATGTCATGGTAAGCAGAAGACAAGCAACCGTTAAGACAAACATTCCCTGTGAAGCTTCTGGGAGTTTGCTGTTTTCAGTGGCTGCTCTCAACGAGTATGTAGCGGACGTCGGCGACGAAGTGCTGGGCGATCTTCTTTCGCCCCCGCAGGGTGCTTGCACACCTTTTTCTTGGGGTTCGCCTCTGCTTGGTCCCCCCTTTCCATGAAGGCAGCGACTCTGCGGAGGATCTTGGCTTTGAGGTTCCCCCTCGGTAGCTCCCCCGACGCCGGAGGCTTTGGCAGCTTGACTTTCAGCGCCCTGACATGGATAGCGCGTCCCAGGTCAGTCGCATTTCTCTCTCTAGCTCTCTCTTCTGGAGACTTTTTGAAGTTCGGCTGCGAGTTGCAGCGTATATAGCTCCAGGTGCGAATCCAAGCAGCGTTCGAAGAAACTTTCCATTTGCATATGTGCTAAACCTCGGCACTGGCTCGAAGGCACTGAAGGGACACATGATGGTGCACATTCCTCGCAAGCGTTGCTTTACTTGCATGGCTGTTGCAACCTGCTCCTGCTGGGCTCACAACTGCCTCCCGACAAAACCTTGCGGGCAAGAGGCACGGCAGATGTTGCAATCCAAAGGAAGCCGACCTTAGAAAAAAGGCCAATGCGTGCTGTCCCATAGTGTGTGCTAGAAGGGCTTCTGCACATCAGCGAGCATGATTACTCCCTCGCCCGTCTGGTTGACTCTTAACTTAATGCTACTATGTCAATGTGTTATGTTCGCGGTGTAAACTTCACTCATGTCCTTGTACAGGACTTTACCAGCTTGTCAACGCAAGGACAGGCATGCGGTTGAACCCAGAATCGGGGGCCTCCATCGTCGCTCACATGCTTTTTCACCAGCCTTGAAAACGGCACGGCGTGGCTCCGAGTGAAACGTCGGACTTCGTCCTTTCAGAGGTATTCGGAATTCGGTCTTCATGACCTTTATGATTTTGGTCGGGTTGCCAAACGCCAGCCACCTAAACCTGACCGGCTGCATATGCTGCTACCACCGACATGCTGGCTCCAGCTGTAACCCTCGATTTGCTGGACTGATTTGCAGCCGGCGCAGTAGGTGCTTTCGACGGAGTGAAACTGATTTGGGCAACTTTGGCCGATTCGTGTTGCTAGCAGCAGCCGTGCAATTTGCACGACTCTGCGTATCTCGCCGGGCTGCTGCCGAGGTCGTAAAAGGGTGACTAGGCCAAGCCGGTGTCAAGCTCTTGGCACAAGGACGGCGGAGGACCTGCCCGGGTGCCAGAGTCAAAAGACCCCCAGTAACAGCATCCGCATGAGTATCATGATCAAAGCCCTCGTTGTAACCAGGACGCTCCTCCTCCTGCTGATCATGCTCTTCACCAGTCGCACGACAATTGGTATACAATTTCGTCTCATCATGATCACCATCACTACCACTAGCAGACCACCATCATGTCAATGTGCATCAGCATCATCAACATCATTGTTGTCATCTTCTTCCCCATCACCACAGTCATGTTATCACATGTTAATCAGTATCGCCAACATCATCACCTGCACCATCTTTAAAATGAAGAATCTCGTAGTTCTGCACATGAGCATCATCATGAACAACGTCAGCAGAAGCATAATCTGGTTCAGCGTGAAAAAGACGGCATAAGACGACAAAGAGGACCAAGATAAGCATCATCACCAACATCATCGCCATCATCTGAGTCTCATCGACGCACATCGATGTCATTTCAGCGTGCTCATAAACGCAAACATCCGCTGGCAGAAGAGCCCGGAAACTGGTCGGCGCCTGGGCTGCATCAGGGCAGATTTCAGGAAGCTTATTTGAGAAATTGTAAGGCACCGAGTTACTGCCTCCGGCCACGACCATGGATGGTGGTGCTGGCTCGTCGCCATCGGACTGCATGGCCTTTTCGCAGGAGGGGGACTGAAAACTGTCGACCTAACCTTGGCGTGTCCGATTTGCTCTCTCTCTTTGTGTGTGTGTGTGTGCGTGTGTGTGTGCCAGTAGCTACAGCATCTAACAAACAAGCTGCTGCCAACCTTCCACTCATTCAAGCACGGGGACGATGTGCTCTTCGGACCTCGTGAGGTGCCGGGGCTGCTTCACGTAACGTGAGCAAGCAGAAAAACTGGAAGATAACAGATTGGAGGCTAGGGTTAGCACCGCGAAACAACGGAAACGGCCCAAGCTTGCAGGCTCTGAGGTGCCGACCAAGGAGTTTCTTAGCTAGAAGTCGCCTCGGAAGCAGTGCGCTGTAGTTCCGGCAGCAAGGCTCGACCCAGTTGGTTCAGAACGAGAGCTAGTTGCAAATGCGTACCATTCTGCATGACACGCGAATCACGATGATAGAGCACTGCCCTACACTTCGAACTTCAGTCTCTGCATAGATGCCTGCAGCACCGCTAATTTCCGCGGCAATACCCTGAAAACCTGCCGCAGTCCAGTCACCGCAGTCGCTGCTGGCGGGCCTTCTTTTGGAGCTCCTGCTATGCAGTTTGAGCTAAAGCCTTTCATGTCCCACCATGCTGCATTGATTAGCAAGCCAAGTTTGCAGCCAAGAACTCACCGCCTCTACAGCTGGTTATGGACCCATGCCGAATGGCTGCAGGGCGGTTAGTGGTCACCCCCGCTTCACGCGAGCATTCGTTCAGAAAATAATATTGTCTTACACTGGTTTAGTGTCGATTTCGCAGAGCCCGAAGCGAGCTGTGTATCAGCATTGGTTCCTGCCTGGTCCTCACGGTGGCGCCTTCTGTCGACCAAATCTTGCAGCTCCTGGCAAGGACGCTAATTACCCTTTCAATCCCTTTCATCTTGATTTGAGAATCTGCCTGGAAAGGGGGCAAAGGAGTGGTGCGAGACGGGATGGCTGGGCAGAACGGGGGGCGGGGCGGAGCATGGAAGGTAAGGGCAAAGGTCAGAGCACTGGTATGAGCGTAGCGATGGTATTGCAGGCATCTGTCCATTCTATCACTGCCGCGTCACCAACGGCAAACCTGTGCAGCAAAGGAAACTGAACATCGAGTGGCTGATGAGATGCCTGCACCCGCCGGGCGCTGAGGCGAACCAGGCTTTGTGGAGAAGGTTGCGGTGTGCCTCACGGCAGAGTCGTGCAGAGTCTATATGCTGCTGTGGCAGACTTTGTTTTCGTGACTCCGCATCGCAACATGGTGCAGCAACTCTAGAAATGTTCCGTTCCAAACCCATGACCTCTCCGTGAAGTCCACTACCAGTGACTACCAGCCTGCTGCTCTTCTCGGCAAACTGATCTTCTGCCCGTCAATGGAGAGGTCCACACCCTCTCATGGAAACAGAAATCTAGGCATCTGTGCGGACTAGATTACCGGTGCTGAGCCACGCAAGCTTGCCATCCCCCCTCCCCAAAAAACGAAATCGCGCTGATGTGCTTCGCAACCTCACATGTCGAGACATCAGTGGCTATGTAGTTGCCGCCATGGCGCTGCATGGAGTCCCGGCAGCTTTGGAATCCTTAGCAGGAATCCTACTGCGCGAACAAGCACTGGATCAAGATCTGCTGTTTGGCTACTGGACGCCTCGGTTGCAACTAACGACAAGATCCGACACGTACGAACATACTGTATTCACCATTGTGACGCCCCTCCCGACACCTCGATCGTAACTAAAACGACAAGATCAGATACGTATGAAAATACTGTATTCACCAGTGTGACGCCCCTCTAAGGACGCCTTTTGCATACCCGGGACGCCTTAGGTCATGCCCCCAGCATCTTTCGTATCTGACAGTGTGTGATAGTGTGGGTGGCTTCGTCATGGGCCAGTCAGTTGAAGACGTCTGCACATCTGCATTGCCTGAGAAGAAGGCCAGGCTTGCCTGATTGAACCGACACCCCACTTGACCTTCCACTTGAAGCTGCGAAAAATACTGGACATTATATTTCTGCGGTGGTTTTGCCAGAAATGCATGGCTCTCATCACTCAGAATCACTCGTGGTCCCTTGGCTGTCGCCATCATTGCTGTGGCTCCATTTTTCCCCACCCGCTTCGCTGACCAGGTCGCACCGCGGGGCTGTGGCTCCAGGGGTTTAGGGCTTATTACCCTAGTTAAATCTCCGTTTGGCTGAAACTGGTTGTGGACAGAACCCGAGACTCGAGAAACACTTCTACTGTTTTTTGTGTTTCCCGGCCACCTGGGTCCTTCATAGATGAGCTCGAACTTGAGCGTCCCGGGCTCGGCGGGCTCATGCCTACAGCACTGGCACCAAAAGAGGAGGGGCCAAACGAACACCAACGAAGGGTGCTTCTAAACACCCGAGTGCTGCAAGTACAGTTCCTGCCTGTCTGGAGGAGGGCCATCAATGGCGATACCAATAGCATCGCGGACGCCTCGGAAACTGAGTTGCCCGAACCTGTGCCTCAAAGCCCAAAGCCTCAGGGTGTTGAGGGAGAGGGCCTGTGGAATGAGGCCGATGCTGGTATGTCACAGGAAAACCCAAGTCAAAATTTATTGTTCGCACAGCGGCAAGCATCGCAAAGGCGGCTGGTTACTGGACCGGACGCCTGCATCATCGGAATGTCCTGAGCAAAGCTGTAAACATAAAAGAGTGAGCGGCTGCGTATGCAAGTCTATGCCAGGATGCGTTCACCTCCAGAAGCCAGACGTTGTAGTCTGCATCCACCTGCTGTTACTTATGCCAAACGGCAGGGTGGCTCTTGTTATGCCTCAGTCTGAAGGAACCTCTCTGATCTTCTGAGCCCGGACCGAACCCACTCTCGACAGTGAGCCTTGCGGCATGGCATCCTACTTCTGGCTATTCACGGCCTTGAAATCTGCCAAATTTGCTCAACAATCGCTCAAGAGTTGCTCAACAAACTTGACCCGCTGAAACCTCGCACGTTTGCCCCGCCCCGACGACCCGTACGCCCGACTTCGATTATTGAGTGGGTGCAAGCAACAAAGCCGAGCTGACCATGAAGTCGTAGCCGAACAGCTGGAAGCTACAGGAGCTGTTGTGAGGCCTGGCACCCGGCACGAGTCTTCAATGAACCACAGTCCCAGAGCTTTCTGCATTGCGGGGCGATTTGGCATTCCTCACAATGCATCATGATCCGTAGCAGCTCCGTGTCACATAGACCAACAGCCTGCCTGGATAAGACTTCGGCAACGCTCTGCAGCGAGGCAATGACTACCTGCTGCATGGCCGGGCGGACCTGCACAAAAGTGCTTGCCGAGTAAAAGCAAGTTTTCACCTCAATCAGTGGTGATTGCGGCTCCACATCACGAAATCAACCAACATCGCAGCTTCTGCCCCGAGCAACTGAACACTTCGGAGGCCGCATCATGCGTCTCAGGCACATCTCCATCCCCTCTGACCCTCGGCCTTCTCTGCCCAAACATCCCGACCAGCTGTCTCTTGCAGAAGCTGACGATATCTCTCCTGTTTTGACAGCCCTCGCAAGGAAGCTCTGCACTCTTGACCCGTCTCTGGCTGCCCTGATTCTCCTGAGTCCATTGACAGCGCCAGTCTTCATCATCAGGGTTAAAGTTCCTCGGCTAATTGTGTTGAATGCGTGTGTGATGGTCCTCTCCGGCACATCGATAGAAGCACACAGTGACCCTGTTTGCGCACATGTTCGCCCTGCTTCCCGAGCATTCAAGGATCCCTGATAAGCCCCACGCTTTTACGGCAGCATGACTCGTCTTCCTGTTCCGCTATGTCACGCGAGAGAGCTCCGTGCAGTGCTGCGAGCGGCACTTTGCGAAGGTTAGCTGTTAGCTTGCCGGTGAAGCCTTGTGGAGCTCAGGAGGCCCAAGAGTGACCAACAAATTGTGGGTGTTGGGAACCGAAGCATCTGTTGTTTAGAATTTGGCTGGCTCCGCGCATGCTTGCCGTCCATTATATACACTACACACGCATGCATGATTTAACCTGCAAAAGCTGATGACTGCACTTTTAGCACATGATCATGCCCCAGCGAAAAACACTGAATTTCTGAATGAAGGTGACAGAGGCCATGATGACGATGGTGGCGATTCATGCTTTTTTTGCGCTATGCGTCTGCATATAGTGCCGCGGCTCACATGGATTCACGCGACATGTCTCTACGAAGCATGATCTCCACGATGCCGGCAGCTTCTTCTGCCGACACATGATGACGCAGGCACAGATAAGTGCGGTACAGTAGCACCCCAAAAAGCTCTCTGCACTGGTATCTGCGGCTCCAGCAACACATACTTCGATTCTTTGATTTTGAGCTATTGACTCGCTGCCAGCTGACTCCCATACCGCCCTGGAGCATCTGCATAAAGCCTCTGAGAGCTCCGGATATCACCAATCTGATGGGATGCAGTGATTACAACAGTTAAAGAGGTGGTTATAACAAGTAACCAGTAGTCGACTCAATTCGCACAGCATGCAAGCCACACACACACACAACGCACACACACACACATATATATATATATATTATACATAAATACAGAAATACATACATACATACATACATACATACAGACAGACAGACAGACATACATACATACATACATTATATAGTTTTTGGATCGGCGCGAGATGGCGGTGGGCTGGCTTGATAACTTTGGCATCATCGACAAGGGGCTGTAGATGCAGCTGGAAGCTGTATGCTGCAAGCCAGTACAGTATGAACCATACCTCCTTTCTCGGTTTCTCCTCATTGTGCCGTGAAACCAGGCGAACCAGATTCATGCGACGTCCTTCTGTTCCAGCACAACGAGCTCATGGTTTTTTTGTTTCCCCCGTTCTTTCACTTTGAGCCGTACAGCAACTGTCTCCGGTGTTGCCGGCAATAGTTCGGGAAACTTAAGGCACCGAATTCTACCCACGCTCACTGCCCACACCACACCAACTTCCTTGACGAGCATCGGATGGTGCTTCATGATGATGGTGTGCGTCAGATGCGTGAAGCCTTGGCGACCCAGTGCAAGGATCTTTTTGGAGGAACCACGCTGCGAGGAACCCAAGGCGGCATCGAAGCACCTGCAACTTGGGTTCCGACGGTCGGCAAAGTCATCCAGAGTGTACTCGTTCGCTGCAATACGAATGTAGCCTGTGCTTTGGGCAGGAAGCAGCGGCAACTCTTCTTCCCGAGCCAAACAAATGCATGAAGTGTCACGGGCGTGGGGAGTAACGGGAAGCCAACGAATGGATTACAGCGGAAACAGCAACCGTGCCAGCAGCGTAACAGGACCACTGCAGGAGAGAGCCCAAACCGGAACTACGACAGCTGGCACGGCGCGGCGACCTGTTTCATTGTTCTTGCAATGTGAGGGCCGAGAATGGGCAAGCGACAACACAAGAGGTCAACAACCTGAAAGCATTTATCTACGACTCTACGACGACGATTGAGAAGACCTTCGATTCACGCTGTCAGCACTCGGTCCAGCGAGGTGAAATCTCTCGGTTTAGGGATTAGGCTCATGGTGTCAACGTCTGCGGTTCTGGCCTTAAGGACTTGAGGTGTGTGTCAGTTGAAGGTGTTTGGGCTTCAGGTCGACATCTTGAATCGAGGCAGCTCCCTCGACTTGCTAAGCTGCTAACCTGACATGACTGAAGTCCAGCATCCCCATATCCAACACTGTAAGAGCTATGACGCCTTGTAACCCAGATTCCGTGCACCGACCTGATTTGCCCGAAGGCATTTCGGCTCTTCACGGACCCGGTCTGAACGCCGAAACCAAATGCTTCTACGAGTAACCGAAAGGAAATCACCTTGCTAAAGAACACGTCTTGCTCATTCCAAGAAGCACTCACTGTAGAAGTAGATGGTCAACGGGTTGACAGAGGTCACCAACACCCACTGGCGGATGTCATGCTTCCGCGCTCCGATCCTGAAATTGATTGGCAGCCATTGGGGTAACTTTGATGGAACCGCGAAGATTGAGTGTCTTCCGCCGCAGCCGTAGTACCCGGACTGTACATAGTCTTCAGAAGTTGTGCTGACTGCCCGCCTGCCATTGCGTGGCATTGTCGGTGTATGGCTCAATGTTCAAAGACACTTGGGTCTCGGGCTTGCTCCTATGCCAAGTCTGCCAAGCTGCAGCAACGGATTCTCAATGTACTTCCTGAGGCGTGATTCAGCGGAGTCATTTGGGATCAAAAGCCATCTAGTTGCCCAGCACAGCGCACTGGCTCGGTCTAACAACGCAGCCCCGCGGCTGGCACACGTACGTGCACGTCTTATTGCGGGCTTGCTGGAAGATCCGGTCGAGGTCATTTTCTACCTTGGACTTCAGATCAAGTTCCCTGCATCTCAGCTGTTGGTACGCTCTCACGACTCGGACAAGCCAGGCGAGGTCCAACAGGTGCAGGTCGGCGTGACACAAAGTGAAGCTCCCCAACTCGGACTGCGCGAAGACATCCTAGTGTCTGTTGATAAGAGCCGCAGCACTTGTCGATATTCTTCGCCCCACTAAATGTATAAGGTGGACACTCAAGGGGAGATGCAGCAATTACACCATGTAATGCCGGCAAAGAATATTCGGATACGTTCTTTGTAAGCCGTGCATTACTGCCGCCTGACTGCGATGATGCCGTGGCCTCGCAAGCTGTTTGCAGGCTTCCTCGGCGAGGAACATCGCAGAAATTAATGAATCAGTGCACTTCCCATAAGTACTAAGTACTGTTACTATGCACAACTCGTACATGTTGTGTAACTTAGCTCGAAGGCACCACATTCATGGCAACATACACTCCAAGCCGCTCTTGTTGATTGAACTACAACAGTTCACAACCCTTTCACCGTTTCGATCGCCCATGTTACTACGTCTGTGAGGATATCATCGCAGCTAGTTGGCAGGATCCAGACGTTGCGCCGATTCAGGTTGAACTGCGGGTGCTGCTTCAAACATTCGATCACCTTGGAGCAGGCAAGATTGTGTTGCCCCCTGAAACTGGAAACCACCACGGTGCAAGCTCGACATGTGGCATTACTTGATGGATGACATGGGACAGCACTGACAATCCCTGAAACAATAATTCGGGACACCTGTAATCTGCACGTGTAGTGCTGCCCGTTTAGACATACAGGAAGCGCACTGGCTCAACACACACACACTAATGTAGCCCTAGAGACCTGGCTGAGGATTGTTTAAACTGTCGACAAAAATCACAAATTACGATGCTCCCACGATGGAGCCGAACAGGAGCCTGCCTCCTCGACTTCCTGTCGCAGTTCGGTGCCGGTCGGCTCTTCCAGCGGCTCGCAGGGCTCCTCCTCGAAGGAGAGGGACATGGGAGCTCGGTGCGAGTAGGGCGAGCAAGCATCAAACAGGCCACAAAAAGTGGAGTCGAATTCACTTGTTGATGAAGGAGTCGAGACCGTCAACAATTAATTTTGACTTCGAGCTCATGCTACTTCATGCTACCGGAGGCTCCGATGCATCAAAGCCGCACAAGGTTTGTGCTGGCATTCTGGTGCGATCCATCAGCGGGCCAGACTACAGCCAGCTGAACCGAGCAAAGCCAGACTCACCACAACCTGCCCTTGCATGGCTCATCCGATCTTAATTGACGTTCGAAGAGTAAACATTCGTTTGACATTGTCCTCTTCTGGCTCGACATCCTCGTTTTCCTCCTTGTCTTCTGGCTCATCTTCCTGGGAGCTCTTGCCATGGCACACTGGGGGAAATGTTGTTGACTCGGTATTCGCAGATGGTCCGAGTCGGCACCAAATGAACGGGTCGCGGTCCCACCTCTAAGGTCCCAGACCCGGCCAGCGGCTTTTCCTCTTCCGATGCCTTTAACTTCTTCGTGCTCCGACGGCGCTTCACCTCAGCATAGCCCTGTGCTATGGATAGTGTTGCGGTTCAATTGCAGCACCCAGCAGTGCAGCTCCGAACCAGGAACGTTGACAGGCTTTCTGCTGCGAACGATCACTGTTGCACGAGGCTCCAATCATCAAAGGTGCCGAAGCTTGCTTACACTGACTTGTCGCTCATCACAAAGTCCAGATTGCGAGGGAGGCATGACATGAAAGGCCACGTGGCAGCACGAGTGCTTAGAAAACCAGGGACAACACACATTTATTCCGGAAAGAAACCGATACTGTTGCCAATGCCCAAAAATCTTCAATGTGGAGCGGACAGGATGCCTTTGCCTGCTCTGCAAGCTGCTGGAGCTTCCTGCACGTGATCGGAGAATGGCTTCTGCTACGACAGATTGTTGCAGGATCTTGTTTTGACCATCGACACTTCCGGGCTTGCACCACCTGGACCACAGCACCAGTCTTTCGTGCAAGTCCTGTCATACTGCTCGATGAGCTGCTTGCCTTTCTCGTTGAGCTGTTTTCCTTCAATGTTGCGCAGTACTGCGGAAGAAGAGTGGCTGACAAGGTACTTGGGCAGAGTTCGCTCTAAAATCCAAGCTTCGCCGCTGCTTCTCATGCTGCCAGTCGATGGAGGCCACATTGGTCTGAGGTGTCTCGAAATCAGCGGCCGCCAGAATGTCCCACTCCTGCACACACAACAATGCAGTCGAGCTCGCATCTTGCATTCAATGTTTCCACGAAACACTGACTCAATTATTTCATCGCTTTCCACAGCGCAAATCTGCAAAGTCGGAGGTGTGTTGGCAGCTGTGGCCGGCTCAGTGGTTTGGCTCCACACCAACAAGAGCATCTCTTGGTTTCTCTGGACTCCTCTGCATTGAGCACGTAGAAGGACAGCTTCTACAACTGATTAGCAAGGATGCCGTGCGAAAAGGGCTGTTACTTTTGGAGCACCTTGCTGAAGAGATATTTCAGCGTGGGGCCTTCAAAAATTGCTGCATGCGCAGGCCTGACGATAAAACTGCAGCTTCGGGCAACTCGTGGCACTTTAGCACGTGATGATTAATTGCATGCGGCACCGCACTTCCGCCGGTCTCCTTGCGCTTGACCCGAAAGTCCACCTGCCGTGCCGCCGTCTATGTCCAGCGGTGTATGAGCTGAGTCGTCCATATATAGGCGAACAAAAGGCTCACGATGAATATCCAAGTCGGCAAGTAGGCTTCAAATCTGAAGAAACATCCGAATCTCGCCCCGGAAGCTTTGGGCATATGGAGTTAGCGTCAGGCAACATGATGTTGATCGAAACGCCTGCCTGTTCAGCTTCGTTTGTGTCACTCAAGAGCTTGGAATCGATGTCCGTTAACCGGCGCTTCACGACGCACAAAGCCTCGGCATAAGCTCAGCAAACTATCTGGTGCTGCTAAACGACGAGTTTCGAGAAAGAGGAGGCACTTCGCAACCTGCGATTTTCTGATATTGATTGTGTCTTTAGACAAGATGGCAAGCAATCATAAGTAGATATTGCAACTGCCGAGGCCCTAACCATGCGAACGACGCCTTCTTGGAAGGTCTCCTTCGCTTGCCTTCGGCATAGAAAAGGCTACAATCCGAGGCTTTGTGAAGGAGAGAAAGCACACCAACATCAGGAATTGCCACTTCAGGCAGTGATTTGCGTACATGTGTTCCTCTTTCGGAAGGCTCTAACCTGCGAGGCTTTGCTGTCACTTGATGTACTGCAGCAGAGACACGTAGATTGATGACAGAGCCATTCCTTGTCATTTGCACACAAGCTTTCTGCAAAGAACCCGGGGAACTGCCACTGCAGCTTCTTTGATGGCCCCTCGCAAAGTCATGTAGAATGGGCTTATAAGGAGTTTCAAGAATTGGCCCAAGCATGTCAAGAAACACTGCTCAGGCGGGGAGCTTTCAGCACGCAGCATGCTTTGGAGTATTTGAACTCCAGTGCAAATTCCTGCAATGCCGACGCTCTGTCCAGTGGGAAGCACTCCGGGTAGAAGCTTCCTCACGTGGCACGGAATTGGCAAATGATATTGTCATTGTGGCAGGGGCTTTCACCGCATTCACAACGCTTTCGGACTGTCGGGAGAAGGTGGCCCAAGCAACAATTGAACGAGATCGCCCACGCACGACATGACGAAATCGTCTCTGCGTGACCGAGGATGGAGCACGGTTGTTTCGCCATGTGGCCGTCAGAACGTTACGACGCCCACGCCAATTCATTCATTCCGTGTGGCAACATTCACTATTGACAATGATAGATGAGACCCTGATAGTCTAGCCATGTAGGGCGCAGGTTCCAACTCTGGTAGCGTTGTCAGGGCTTAGTTTCGCTGTTGCAGCCTGTTGCAGCCGCGAACAAACAGCTACAGTATGACTATCTGCTCCAACCCCCCGCAAACCCGCATCACACTTGACTTCCAACACTCGGATTGTAATACCAAACCTTTTGCAAAGCTGCTGGAGTCGGCCGGGCTGGAAGCTGCCTGCAAGTTCTCAGCCAAACCTGGCATTCCAGCCGCAAAGCTGGTTCACAGTCGAAGCGTGACCTCCCTAACGCCCCTAACCTTCAAAGTAGAGACCGCTTGGACGAGCCTGACTTGGTCGTCAGCTCGGAGTCACACTCGAAATGGTTCACAAGCTTCGGGGGCGACAGGGTTTTCCAGTCAACCTGCCAACGGAAACGTCGTCTCGCTCAACAAAAACAAGTCAACGTGCATTGCACATGCTTCCTGCTTTTAAGGGTGTGTTGCGAATCGGCTTGCTCAAAGGTCGATGGTAACGGTAACCACCAACAAACAGTGCAGATATGACTCTTAACAGCAAGAAAAGACCAAGGCAAACTCAAAAAAACAGTGGAGACATGAAAAGACAAAGGCAAACTACCAAAAAAAAGGCAGTATCACCCAAGCAGCCAGATGCGGAAGCGCTGGGATTCACTACTGCTGCAGCGGTGGTTGCATTCTCATAATCTTCGTGATGGACAGTTATTTGGAGTGATACATAAACACCATCTATATATCAACCATGGCAATCGCGCATAAGCGCACCTAGAAAAAGTTGCGATCGTGTTATTGACACTGGATTAAGGTTGTGGTGGCGGCTGTGGCTTCCCACGATTGACAACACCAGAAACTTCATCTTGCGCATCTGTTTCAACAGCCACAAACGAAACAAGTACCTAGCATGCAAGAAAGACTGCAAGTCTAGAGCGGCAAGGAAGCGACACTACCCAGAACAGCAGCACAAGCACCAACATCACAACGAACCCTGATGTTTAGCAATAAGTTATAAGCAGAACAACAGATAAGGCAGATGAGGATATATGCTGATGCTACGACGAACAGCAGTGTCGACAATGGTGTTTACCGAAGTAGCTGCAATCATCCTAGGAGCTTCAGTTAGCATGACCATTGTAAATAAGTAAACGCCATGGACAAGTGCGCAGCATGTCGCAGCCAGACACAAGAAGTACTTCTTGCAATGATCGAAGACTGCGGAAAATGAAGGAAACATGTGCTTGGGCGAACAGCCGGAACTGCGCGAAGTACCAGGGTGACCCGGCCTTCACTCGCGGTCCCCACTTCAAGTCAAAGTCTGATCTGGACTCGACATCCATCTCCACGAACCCTCGAGACAGAAGCTCTTGCCGAACCTGTCAGGTGGATGGCTAATGTTCTCCTGCCTACGAACAGCGACAAATATTTTGCAAGCGACCCTGGCAAATAATCGGCATCTGCAGACAAGGCTAGCATTGGAGGCTACAGGCAGCAACAACAGCCAGGCACCCACATCCCATGGCCCGAGCGCCGCACGACGTCTAAGTTGGCACACTCGGGATTGCCCGTGATGACGAACGTTTTCGCTTTGGCCACAGGAGACCGTCTGGAGTTCCTCTGCCATGTGCTGGACATGTACTGTCGGCACCAATCGGCCTGATACCGTTCCAAGTTGCAAGCGCGCTACATAGAACAGCACACCACAGTCGCGGAGCATGTTCATGCTGCTAGCGGCTGAGCGTATCAGCCTATTCTTCCGTGCCGTCCAGGCGCTTGGTGGAGGCCGGACCCACGCAGGAGGTCGAGCCAAGCAGGGTTGGAAGCAGTTGCCTCCACGCCCACATCCCATATTGCATGTGCTGATGCTTTCTATGTTGTCGAGTGGGGTCATACCTAACGAAACACACAAAACATGCACGTGAGGACTCTAACGCAAACATCTCCATGCATAGACCCCAATATATACAAGTGCACATAAACACATGTATGCATGCGTACATACATACACACACACATACATACATACATACATACATACATACATACATACATACATACATACGTGCAAACATCCGTGCATGCATGTGCATGCACACGGGCATGTACGCGCACATGCAAGTACATGCACACACACACACACATGCGCATACATACATACATGCGCATGCATACATACATACATACATACATACATACATTCCATCCATCCGTCCATGCATGCATGCATGCAAACACACGCGACATACATACATACATACATACATACATACATACACACATACATCCATCCATCCATCCATCCATGCATGCATGCATGCATGCATGCAGGCATACATGCATACATACACACATGCGTACA